TAGGGGTAATGTTATCGGGTAATGTTATCGGGTAATGTTATCGGGTAATGTTATCGGGTAGTGTTATCGGGTAATGTTATCGGGTAATGTTATTGGGTAATGTTATTGGGTAATGTTATACAGGTAACAGTTACTGGGCTGTCAATCCTTGACCATCGTCATTTTAGAATCACTGTAAGTACGTAAAACGGATCCTGCATCATAAGTATTTTCCTTCGAGAGGATGAAGTTCGAGTATAGAGTTGTTTGTAGGTCGAACGAAACACTTTTTGTTTTTATCGAGCCAGACTTAAGCATCACACAACTTACTCCGGAAAGTTTAATTGATTAAAGGATTGAAATAATCTTCGAAGTTTTGTTCACAGATACAAAAGTACAGAATTACTACAGTTACATTTACCTCATGGAAAAGTGTCTCTACATCTCGGAAAGTCATCAGAGAAGGTGTACCGTCCGCACCAGGAGGGGACTGGTTACAAATTAAGTATGCGACAGGTTTTCTGTTGAGGAGTTCACTTCTGTCTGAATTAAAAAACATTACATAAAGCGGAGCTAACTTAGTATCCAGTGAATTAGTAGAGTCTGAGTTTGCACGTCTTAGTTTAAGTTTATCTATGATGCTGTAAATGAATTCAAGCAAATACACGCCTTTTCGGCATAATATCAATTAAAAGAAAACGCCCCTTTTGCCCTTAAACGCTTTCATTTGAGTTTCGTAACAGCAAAGGGAAGAGCGCTAAAAGATAAAACACAAACTGTCTGACGTGCCACTAATTGGTTTGTGTATTGAATCCGATTGGCTGAGGTGACACCGAAGTTCTCTGGACCAATTACAGAGCGAAAGAAAATCAAAGTGATCGCTCGTTACTTTCGACACCTAGTTGTATGCAGCTTTTTAAGAAGAGCAGATCTCTAATAAAGTATTATAAGATAGCACAAACACTATTTTGTAATGTAAAAAATAAAGTGCATTTCTGTAAGAAATTACTGAGACATTGATCCATCCAGGCCCCTCCGCTCTTTTCCGCCGGTCGAGAGTATGGATCCAAGTAAAATGACGCGATGTGGTACCCTGAACATGATTGAAGCAGAAAGATTGTCACCATAATGAAAAGGTTTTATAACCTTTTTGGTATAACAAGGAATCTATTGAGTGAAATTGGTTCTAACGAGTTCTAACAAAAGAAATAAAACGTGAGAGAGTTAGCCCTTCGTTAAAGTAAATAGAATGCGAATAGAACGCTCTAACGAAGGGCTGACGCTACCAAATTATCTGTATATATGGCAGCGTATCGTGGGCAGGAAATTCATAGCAAAACGTTTGCAGAGTCATATAAATAGGAGATTGACCCTTTTTCTCAAAGTACGCATTAGAGTGTCACAAATTTCTGGAAAGCGTGGTAAAAAGAGAAATAAAAAAAAAAAACTGAAGCGCAGAGGGAGCACGACTCTATGTGGTGAATCTTATTAGCTTTCCGGCATCTGATTGTTTATGAGGGGAAGAGTTTCTAGACCACTAATAGAGCAAAGTACAGCAAAACCAATGCAATCCCGCGATATTTCTTTATCTTCTGAAGCTCAACGCTCTTTTTTCACAGTTTCTTACAGAAACAATTCGCCTCTGCTGATAAGTGAATCAGTCGTCCTATTTCGTTTGAAGAATACCTCTTTCATCCATAATGTGAAAGAACCTTACATCCGGATGCCAAACTTCTGCTTCACCATCTGCTGACTAAAGTAAAACAGAATTACCACATCTATAGAAGCGCAGAGAAATGTTATCAGGTTCCCAAACCTCTCCACTCCTGATAGCTGAACCTCTTAGTGGGTAGTAAGTTAGTTTCACTAGGTCAAGAAATTCCACCAAAGTTCTCTAAAATGAACCAACATAACCGCTTACACTGAAATCAATCTCCCATATTCTGCGACATGATGCAGCTATGCAGTTGTGCCACAAAAAATTCAATTTGAGTGTTAGTAAAAGCTTTTTCCCGTATTGGTGACACATCGCGGTAAAAGTCCCGAATGATCATGCATTATACCACAATTGAAAAAAGGTCAAAAAAGATATTGCAAATTATTACCTTTGTTAAAATTGGATAAGTGATTCAAGTAAATTAATATGATTCCATAGAAAATTAAAAACGAAAAAACAAAAAAACAAAAACAGAGGAAGCAACAAGAATTGAAAAAACACCGAGAACTCAAGTCAAAATAGGACTTAATGAGAACTCTAAATCATTTTCTCAGCTATAAATTTCACACAAACATCATTTGCGTTACAAACTCTAAAAGGGTAAGAACAAGGAACATATGTATAGGATTTAAATTCAACCAAACAGTAAAAATACTGGTCAGCAAATATGTATAATAAATACATAACAAACCTTAATGACTATTCCAAACAACTCAGAAGAAAGTTTAAAGAGTCCTTCAAGTACCCTACAAATACAGTTGTGCGGGTAAACAACAACAACAACAACAACAGCTCTGCCTATTATACAGATTTTAGTGTAAAGCAAACAACTCCCTGACTCAATAGTACAACTGTATGATATCTATACCGTAAAAGGTCTAAATACTATTCTTATCCTTCACAAAGGAAGAAGTTGTTATACTGATCCTGTGCATCAATGACTGACTTTTTTATTTTAAAAACAATATCGAAGTTAAGTTCAGTAAAGTTATGACAGATGTATGTAAAAAGAAAAAAGGAAAAATGATCTGTTCGTACGTGCCTACGTGGGTATGGAGAGTTGACGTACCTTTAACATTTCTTACGATCCTCGCAGTAGAGAGCGTTATTTATGTAATAGCGAAAATCAGACCTGAAAAAAATCAGGCCTGTACGGGATTCGAACCACTGACCTCTGCGATACTAGTGCAGCGCTCTACCAATTGAGCTAACAAGCCAACTGGGAGCAGGCCGTTAAGTTGATTCGTAATAAACCCGTGATGATAAATCAGATACAATGAATACATGAAGTTCATATATTTTGAACTGCGGTTGTAGATACGTATGATGCACGATCCTCGCAGTAGAGAGCGCTATTTATGCAATAGCGAAAATCAGACCTGAAGAACTCAGGCCTGTACGGGATTCAAACCACCGCCTGTTAGCTCAATTGGTAGAGCGCCGCACTAGTATCGCAGAGGTCAGTGGTTCGAATCCCGTACAGGCCTGATTTTTTTCAGGTCTGATTTTCGCTATTGCATAAATAGCGCTCTCTACTGCGAGGATCGTGCATCATATGTATCTACAACCGCAGTTCAAAATATATGAACTTCATGTATTCATTGTATCTGATTTATCATCACGGGTTTATTACGAATCAACTTAACGGCCTGCTCCCAGTTGGCTTGTTAGCTCAATTGGCAGAGCGCTGCACTAGTATCGCAGAGGTCAGTGGTTCGAATCCCGTACAGGCCTGATTTTTTTCAGGTCTGATTTTCGCTATTGCATAAATAGCGCTCTCTACTGCGAGGATCGTGCATCATACGTATCTACAACCGCAGTTCAAAATATATGAACTTCATATATTCATTGTATCTTTAACATTTCTATCGGTTTATCTAAAGTGTGATTGATCACTGCAAATGTATTTTGAAATGGTATTCTTGGCTTGAATATTTCATTGCTGTTTGTGTAAAACATAGTTAATTGAGGCAATTAACTATGTGTAAAACAAAACAATAGAATACTCCATGGCCACTTGTCTCCTTTTTTTAACAGATGGTGACATCACAACTCAGAGGTAAAATTCATATCCTCATGTGGTTGTGTAGTATCATCTTCACCATTTTTGTACAATCAGTTGAATGCGTGTTCTATGTAACTTTTTTACAAAGGGCCTGATATCAAATCATACCTTGTCAATTTATTAAGATCTTAGAAATAAGGACAAAAACAGACAATGAAACTCTGCCCTTTATATCTCAACATCAATGAGTTTCTTAATAGTATCATTTGATACCTTGGTAATGGGAAGAAAGGCCTCAGCTCCTCATCAGTGAAACTTCAATGGAATGTGAACAAAGTTAGTGTCAGTGAAATCACATTTGTAGAGGTGACCCTCTAACTCCCAGAAGAGACCAAGACAGAATTTCTCCTCAGTGCAGTGTCAACACAATATTCGGCAGACAAGTCGGGATTATTAGTTGATCCAATGCTAAATTCACTGAACTAACATCATGAAAATTGTATGGCAGACAGTAAAAAGAATTAGTAATGAGATCTTAGGAATGACAGGGCAAAATAATGATGACTTTCATGACTGCCTCACCTAAACAGATGTTCCTTTTGCTTCTGGGACCAGTAAGCTATGTCCCAATGTTTCAAATCATCGACAAAACCATTTTCCTGAGCAAAGTTCTTGAAAAGAAAGTTATGAAAAAGTCAAGATTAAGTTAGTTTTATTGAAAGGCAAGTTGGTGGCCTTGGGAGGCAGCAGGGTGATGAAATCTGGCCATGTTAGGTGTGTTTTTTCCTTGGGAAAGACACTTTACTCTCACAATACCAGCAAACTGGAAGAGAAACCATGATATGCTGTGGAAGGATATGTCACCTTGCTCACAACACCATTATATTAATGCTACGCACCTAGCAGTACATTACCATAAGAGCTCGTCTGGTTTTTGCAGCATGAAATACCCTAAGTATTGGCTCAACTGCTGGATGGGATACTCATCAAATGTAATTAATTAATTTCAACTTTTTTGGCACTGTCTAGACTCAGCCAATGAACAAGGTAGAATTTGTGCATTTACTATACGTGTTTAAAGAAACGGTTGGGATCTTTTGCCAGGCAAAACAAACATATTAAATTAACAACATGAGCTTGATAAAGGTGAAGTAAATTTGGTGAGAATATAAAAAAACAACAGACACTTCAACCCTTGGCAGTTTGTCAGAGAAATTTTTTCTCAAAGAAGGGCTGTACGTCTTTTGAATTTTTCTAGTCTATAACAGCCTAAGCTTTTAATTAAGGTAAAAATCTTAGATAGGAGAGGTAGAACTCCTCTTTTCTTTACAGTTGACAAAGAAATAGGTTAAAAAAAATTGTTACAATGTATCCCAGTGGTAATGCTAAATATCTTACAGAGAGTAACAAGAAGAGAAAATCTTCAACTTAGTTGCCAGAAAAAGAAAGATGTCAAAGATAATTGAAATGAACAATGGACAGAAAAATATCTGACAAAGAATGTGTTTGATAAATGCAGATCCTTGCACTGTGCAGGATGCCCATCACATAGGAGCTCCACAAATGGACTAGTTTATATAAAAGTTTGTTTATGTTGGTTGGTGGAGCATCTAATAGCAAAACCTCAATGTCTCTGACCTATGTCCCATTTACTGTCCCAAACTCTTGACAAGTAATCATGTTCAGCTTTTTTCAATACTAAAACTGGATTCCAATACATTACCTGCAAATTGATTAGTTCTTTTTCCGCAGCTAATTTACTCTTGCTATGTAAATCAGTGATCATTTTCCAAACTTCAGATGGGCTACCAGCCATTTTGGAGTCCAGTGATAGCATTGCATAGTTCTCAAATCCTAGGAGAGTAGCTTTCTCATGTCTGTAATAAAAGTAATTATAAACTGAGAGATTCAGGCTCTATTTAAACTAAAATCTAAACCTTCTGCATTACAAGATTTGGCCATCTTTGTCCTTTGTAGATCTGATCCCCAACTTAGATATACCTCACTGTGCACAGCAAGTTATATACTCCAAGGTAAATTTATAGAAAGATTTACCAGTAACCCTAAATTGGTTGTCTAGTGATCTTAAGGTAGATTTCCAGTGTTGCACAATGCATAAGTTTTTCTGTATGTACAACATGCATAAAGAAAACAGGCAAAAGCTATTTCCATTGCTCCTTAAAAAAGTAAATACCATGCACTGGCCCATGCTAGTTAGTTGAAGGCTCCCTAACTTTCTCTGCACTCTGATGATTGCAGTGTGCATAAAATGCAAGTTAACGCCTTGAAATAAACATGAAAGAGGAAAGATGACAACAATAAGTGGCAACCCTGTAAGTCAATGTATGCATTTACACCTGTAAATGTTCATTTCAACACGTCATTTTTCTTAATGTACTTTCACATATGTGGACAAAAACGCGACAGTGGAAATCCAGCTTAAGCCTGGAAAGGCTGGGACCACTATGTAGTAACTAGGACATGAACTTTCACTCAAACCACCCATAAGAAGCTGAAAGCCAGGGTTTGACCTCACTACACAAGAAATGTACCTTAATTTTCTTATTTCTTCAATAATATTTGAATTATCACTTTCTCCTTGCGATGCTCTGGTTATGTAAGCCATGTACAGTTGTTCTCGCAGACTTCTATTTTGGCTGTTGGTGAAAAACAAACATTAGGTTTGTTTGCTTACCAATATATGTACAACAATTTTAGTTATCATCAATCAACAAAAAGAAAAAGAGAATGGGAAGTTTACAAAGGAGAAAAATTAGAAGGACAGAAACAGTATATATAGTGGCTGTTCTTACCTGTACTTCATGAATGGCTCAAAGCAAGGCAAATCCAAACTAAGTTTCCAAGGTCCTGATCTGGGATCAATGTTTCTCCTGATGACAAAAACAAGTAGAGTAGCATGCTCTTATAGAGCACCTCAGCAATAAACTTAACTGAAGGCAAACATTACTGGTACAGAAGACATAATTATAAAAATGTGCTAGAAAAGTCACCATAAGTAGCATCTTTATTTAATATTAAAGGTGACAAATTATATCCTAAAAATTATTACATCATAGAACCTCTGGCCTTCTTAAGAGAGTTTGTCATAGAATTATTCATTTTTCAGTTAAAAGAGCTGGTTTTGTTTAAAAGCATAAGCTTATATCTCTTACTGTTGAGTGGTATAAAATACCAGAATAAGATCAAACATAAGTATAGGTAGATAATGACATTCTTACTATTCCAGCTAAAATCATAGGTGAGGATTGAAAGTATTCTCTCAAAGCAACTTTCTCAAAACTCCATGTGTAAATTCTATCAATTTCTTTTCAAAAGACTTTTTTTTCCAAATTTGCATTGCCAAACTAAAGGTGTGGTTTATCTGCTTGTATGCCAATGTTTATGATAATCCTTCTTGAAAGAAGAGAAAGTGGGCAATTGTAATTTATGCAACTCGTGTACAAAACCTCTCTGACAGAAACAATTACGCATCCAAAAGACACCTTCTTGTGTAAACAAACTGTAATGGTTGTTGGATAACCACCATCTCAATGTTAAAAATTGTTTGAAAAAGAAATTCAACCTTGCTTCTTTAAGGTCTCTGTGACTTTCTGCAGCTGCTGCCTCTGCAGTCATCTGAAGAAGAGATTCCGGCAATCCTCTGACATCATCTGGGTTTGTTAAAACTAATGAGAAGGCCTTTGTTGCATCCAATACATTGTTACTGAAGGAAATAACAATACCATTGTGAGACCAACTGGGCAAAAGCATTTAAACATTGATTACATAATTATACTTTCTTGCAAAGTGACAACATACTTAGCATTTACTGCACCACTTTGAAGCTGCCTCACAACATCTGTCATTTTTCCACAAATTTTCATATAAACATAAGTCTATTACAACATGCCAGCACATCATGTTTTGTTAAGCAACACAACCTCATAGGAGTATGTTGAAACCAATCGAATCATGCAAAAAAACTCTTATAAGAGTTTGCATGATTAATTGACAGCTAATTATGTTTGAATCAAAATCATCCCAAAAGCCTGACATTGACAAAATGATCAATTACCAGAGAACAAAACTTACAAAACTACCAAAAATTTTGAATGATGCTGGAGAACAATGCAAGAGGCACCTACACAAAACATTTAAAAAAAAATCTTCAAAGGAGAAATGTCAACTTCACAATATCTCTCTAACGTTGATAAATTGGATCGGAAGTTTCCAAAGTTTTAGTACAAATTCATCACCTTCAAATGTAAAAAGTAAAAACTGAACAAAATAACTGGCAGATGTACTGTCAAACCTCTTGTTGGGGCACACCTGTCTAATAAGGACACCTCTCTGTTATAGGTAGTTTCTTACGTCCCTAACAGATTCCAATATACACTGTAGTTCCTTCACAAAACCTATATAATACAGACATTCTGGTCTTTCCTTTCCATGTCCAATTAAGAGGGGATTATCTGTACCGATAAAAAAAATCAGCTAGACTTTATAACTTTGTTTTGCCCACTTTTCACCTGAATTTGTTTTTCAGTTCAGCAAGTCTCAACTGTATAGCATTAAATCTTTCTTTTTCTTTTCCTCTCAGGGCCACTCCCCCATTTCTAGCTGATCTTAAAAATGATGTCACTACTCTTTGCTGTCCTTCATCAAGACCCACACTGAACCCTTCAACTTTCTGATAGAGAAAATAACACATCAAATTTTAATACAAAGAGGCAATTGAAAATAACTTGTATTGTAGAAAGCAACATCTTCTGTAACACTATTACAGTCATGCTTGGAGACTGAGCTGAGACTGAATATGTAGATCTGCTTAATAACAGTCTAGAACATTTGACATCATGATTACATTATGAGTAAGTATGAGTGCTTAAGTGTACCACCAAGCACGGAAAGATAACTGCAAAAACATTCTAGCCCACTGAAAGATCAAGCCACACCTAGACCCTGGGAACAGGCTCTATATTGCTGAGGAGTTTACATAGTCTAACTGGGAAAACTTACTGCAGTTTTAACCACAAAAATCTTGGAATTGTCTACACTTGAATCTTTACAGATTCTGAAGCATCTGATTACTTGCCTGGTTTAAGGTGGCTGAACACAGTTTTTGATACCTGTGTTTCTTTTACCATTTTCTCTAAAAACCTTGATCTCTTGGTCGCCAAAACTGGCAGCAAGCAAGTTAACAACACAAACTTTGTTTTTTTGATAGTTAAGCTGACATATGTGCCATTGTCATGGCAACTTGAATTCATATAAACAGGCCTTTAAAATTGGTTTTGTTCATTTGTAGAAAATCTAGTCAATAGTTTTTCTTTATAATTTGCATGCAACGAGCTTGTAACGATACTCACAAGTTAACACCATTTTGCTAACAATTTAACAGAGAGATCTTTAAAGTCCCTAGGACACTTATTTTTTTTTTATTTTACATCAAAATATAGTGACTCTAAAACATGTTTTTGCAACATTTGTGGTATTTTGCCCTTTTCTGACTTTTTCATCAAGTTATATAGTCTGGCAGAGTAAAGAGGGACTGGGCGCCGTGACGTCACAGTAGGAATCTTGTGGAGAGAAATAATCTTCATGGAGTCAGGGGTATTCGAAAAACCCCAAATTACACATCGAAATGGCATTTTTTGGCTAAAAAGATTGTAAACAGTAGCTTCCACACTCACTTTGCTTCTTTGATAAACTTGGTGTTACTACTGTTACATCACAGGTTCCACTACTATTTAACACGGCCAAAGAGATATGGGGAGCCTAAGTTCAATACAATTTTGGACTTTTATCACCTTGTAAAATAACAAAGACACATCAGAATAACCCACAAATCTTACCAGACACCCTCTACATACTTCTATTTCTATAATTTAATGCTAAAAAAATAGGTGTCATAGGGACTTTATCCCTTGTCGAAGGTTCACTCAATTATCTAGAATTTCCTTTGTTAAAAATCAATTTTTTTCAATACTCCAGTTACTTACTTCCTAAAGTATTTTCGTGCCAAATTTCGTGAAATTCTAATGAGTGGTTCTCAAGAAATAGGTATATTTCAGAGAAAGCAATTTTCCATGCAATCGCAATTTTTTTACTTATTACACATGCCCTGCATTTAACTGGGTTCTCTCTGTAATGACGAAAAGGCTGAGAATTACTGGGTTCTTTGCACCGTTAACTTTGTAACATGTCTTTGTAATAAAAGATTAAAGCCCTCAATACACTGCACCAAGTATAGAGAAAAATAGCACAGATAGTGTGGATACGTCAGTGTTGAGTAAATAAAACGACCCCTCTATCAATGGCATGTTTGTTTTTTTGCAGTCCTTGCTCATGTGCCGAATTGCATCAGCAAAAGCAAGCACGAAAACTGTATTCATCCATATCAATAGAAAACTTTTTCTCCTACACAATGCAAGAAAAACAATTTTTTCTTACCTGGAGAGCATCATATAAAGGGACACTCTGTGAGACTTTCATAGAAGCTTGTACAACCATTGGTTGAACCTGTAAAACATTTTGAAAAAAATGAACAACACTAACAGAAGGCTTCAATCAGTGAAGGTAACAACACTAACAGAAGGCTTCAATCAATTAAGGTAACAACACTAACAGAAGGCTTCAATCAATTTGAGGTTTAACCATCCCCCATGGCATTTGAACTTAAGCAGATTTAATTGGTTCATTCCAGTTCCCACCCACTTGGGCATAAATTGTGTACAACTGCCCAACCCAAACACAATTTTAATTTGAACAATTCTTTGTGCGATCAGCAATTGTAGTAGAATTTAGGGAAGTCACATATAAGTTTTGGTGTCACTGTTTAGTTTTACACTTATTAGCATCATTCTATGATGTGAAAATTTCCTTCTAAACCATTTCCTCTCACAGTGGACTTTTTGGGTTGGTTATTAAACAAATTCCAAGTTAGATGTCTCTTATGGAAAACCTACAGTTTAAACATTAACCACCTCCCGGTTAGCTCAATGGATAGAGCGGCTGGACTGTTGTGTGGGAGGTAGAGGGTTCGAGCCCCGGCCGGACCAACACTCAAGGTCTTAAAAGAATTGAGAAGAATATGCTACCTTTCTATAACATCAAGTCATGGTTAGATATTCTAGTCTTCTCGGATAGGGATGAATAAATGGAGGTCCCATCTCCTACAGGGAGATGGGACAGCATCATAAAAAGGGTAGGAGACATTAATTTCCCACACACGAGATTACTGTGTGATGGATGTCCTCCCCTGGGCTGGAATGGCTGGGATTTATTGGGTGGACTACTTGCATGGTTCGCATATGTTCCGTTCTAGTCCTACCCTACTGCGGTAATGCAGTGAAAATGGTTAGAAGAAAGATAGAAGTAGAAGAACATTGTTTCATTGTTTCCCAGTCAAGGGCTAAACTATGTCATATATTGGGGGAATGCACTGTCTTTTGAGCGATTTGGATGCGCATTTTGAAGGTTTGACCCAACATGGCCTTAATATCCAGTCAAGCAGCAAATATTGGTGAAGAAGAAAACCTTTTTGGGTGGGATGGTTATTCTCTGATATAGAAAGTAAAGCATAAACCATAAGACAATAAGACCTTGATGACAAAGGTAAAAGCATACGAGGAAATTATGAAAAAAGTTAACCCAAAATCCAAATCGGATGAAACAGGATATAAATGAAAAATGCTGGAGGTGGTTAAAACCACAGTCAAAGAAAGAAAAAGATTTTAATTGTCATGCCATTGTTACAATAATGACTAGAGTATTCTCAACAGCTGTGTGCAGTCGCAAGTACAGACATGGAAACTGTTGCTTCAATAAACTGAGGCATCTAGCGCACCTATGTTGTAGCGTATTTTTTCTCAATTCTTTGGCTTGAGGATTGCATAATAAAATTATGCCCTGCAAGTACAAACATATCCACCAACACCCACTTAGCCTCCTACGCAGACATTCTTTGGGCTCGTCATGCAATCTTCCTCCCCCACGAGTGTCTGCTGAAACGAATGGGTCGTTTAATAAGACTAATCACAAGGCACTTCTCGATCAAGGCAGCGAACTTTGAACCTTGATGAATTTTCTCTTGTTGACGGTGTTTCCTGGGCATTTAGCCAAGTGCTTCCACCGAGTATATCATAACTTTCATGTACTGTTCAATCATTTTCGGCATTAGAAGTAGAACTGGTAGGGGATTGTTCAAATTTCAGTGATTTTGTTGCAGATTGTTGCTGCACTTGTAAAGCTGTTGTAGGTTCGATTGGCATGTCAATGTTCTCAATGCCCTGTCCTTTTCAGCGGAATTTTGACGTAAGTGTTTCGTTCTATTTGCTACTTTTTTAAAGTCTTCCTTTATCTCATCCTAAAGGGATCACAATTTTGTTTTAGCTTTTTCAAAATGAAGTAACCGCTTGTAGCACTTATTGCAGACGAACGGATCAATGGACGAAAACACACTCAAATCTGTTTGCACAGCAAATTCAATTAAGTGTGCAATATCCACTGAACTCTTACCAAACACTCTTATTCTCCCTGCGGGATTAACGGAAAACTGCACAGAAAACAGTTCTTTCCGATGATTTTTTTCGGAGTTTCTCAAGTTAGGTTTTGAGACCTGTTTTCCATGAGTAATAAGAAACACGAGAAAATTAAACCCCCTCTTGGGGGTTGTTCTATCACAGCTTATGATTGGCTTTCTATTGAACAATAACCAAGGGCCAATTGGCTCTTCGGTGATCTCCACATGCTCTCCGTCTGATCTGTTTGAACAAAGGGAAAGGAATGTGCTCATTCGCTTCAGCAGACGTTCGTGGGGGAGGAAGATTGCATGACGAGCCCAAAGAACGTCTGCATAGGAGGCTAACACCCACTAGGATGCCATCAATAACAGCTTCTCAAAAATGCTCAAATCATGAGTCCATTCAGAGAAACAGGATATTCAATAGACCACCCATTTTCTTTTGTTACAGCCCCCCCTCCTTTTCTGTTCACATTCACTGAATACACCTTTTCCAAGTTATCACAGTTAAGTGATCTGGACCTTGATTATCCTGATTTTTTAGGTTGTAAAATGTTGTTCTCATAAAACATTTTTGTAAATACTTTGGAGCATTTTGGCAATGATGCACAATGATTTGAGAATGTACTTTTATTCTTGCATAATGTTGATTAAATGACACATTTCAGTTTCATTTTTGGCTCATTGATATTCATATTTTCAATTATCCAGACTATTCAGCCCAGTCCCTACGAGTCCACAAAATCAAGGTTCAACAGTACACATAACCCCCATGATCAAATAACTCGTATGCTAACCTCTGGGATACGAGGTATACAATACTACAATATCAATTATGACAGAAGTTTAGAGCAAAACAGCATAAGTGGTAGCCACATTAATATACCTTTTCATAAACATCTCTCAATTCTTGACTGTTACGAACTCTATTTAAATGTGATGTAACTCCCCACGCATAACTAAGAGGACTGCCTATCTTCTCTAGTGGTTCAATTATAGTTGACCAGTGTTGATCAATCAGTGATTCCTTTCCTCTATGTAATTCTAGAAAAAAATCAGCTTGGAAAGATTAATTATTCTGAATGATTCCATATGCAAGATAAGAAGTAAAAGGATCATTTGAATTTGCCATGAATGGTAAAGAGGACTCGACAAGTAGATGATTTTGCTCTTAAACAGTTTCTTTCCTCTTGACATAACCTCTTGAACCCAATCAAATATTCTCATTGTTTCCCACTTTTTACAGTACATAAGCACAATTTTATAAACATATCTGACATAACACAAAATCATATATTCTGCAACACCACTGTCAGTTAATTATCATTTAAAAAACGAACACAAAATTTTGCAAAGAAGCCCAACACCTGCAAAATATTCTTCAGGCTACAAAATTCAAACACAGAAAAACAATTTTGGTGTTAAACCTCTCAATTTAATGTTAGTAAAAGCTTGAATACTCAGCTGTAAATCTACCACGCAAAAATGATGAAAGATGAGGAAACAGTACTGTAACAGCCTATCCTAGAAATAACGATTTGCCTATCATGCAAGACTACGAAGGTAGTACTTTCGCTTACAGATCCGATTTCATAGAAAGTATACAGTTTGTCCCAAGGGACCTAAATTTACAAGGGATCCGTTTCTCCAGATCGATTTCTGCCCAACACTAGTAACGTTCACCATTCTCGACAAGAAAGAAAAACTAATTTGTTACGTTAATTAGTGTAAAAGAAACTTTACAGGGATGTGTCGATTATTTTTACAAAAGCTGACCTTGTAATTTTGTTTCGAACTTCATAAAGTCACTCTTGAAATCGTCAGTCAATTTCTCGATGGCTGGCGCTACATGGGTGGTTTGAAATTCATTGAAGAGTGGTAAAGCTTCTTGCTTGAGAAAAGGATTGTAATCACTCGCAGTGCAAATAGGATGCTTGAAAATCCGTATCTGTGAGAGAAGCGAAGACAGATGGAAACATCGAAGTGAGTCTGTCCAAAGATTCCTCAACCTTGGCAAAGAACCTGCTAGATACGCCATTTTGTAATTCCGCTAACTTAGGAGAGCGCAGGCGCAACCCTGACTCCGATATCGTTACTCAAAGCTCTCTCTTCTCTGCTACCCTGTGGTTGAGGGACCCAAAGGGGCACTGGTAGCCCGTATACAGTCCCCCCTACCCTCCAAAAGAAAATCTAGAAGTCTTGAATTAATCTTATAACAGGAGTAAAAACTAGTGCATCTAAAAGACAGTAATGCTGCGGCACATTCTGTTGATAGTGACATAATTTACGCAATGATTCATCTACCTGTTGAAATATTCCGCGATAAATTACAGACGTGCCAAATTCAGAATTCAAGATTTCCGAAAGGATCTTCGTTTTCGTAGTCTCACGAACATAACGAATTTATTTAATGGGTCTTCGTTTTGGTAATGGTCTTCGTTTTGGTAATGGGTCTTCGTTTTGTAATGGGTCTTCGTTTTGGTAATGGGTCTTCGTTTTGGTAGGGGTCTTCGTTTTGGTAGGGGTCTTCGTTTTGGTAGGGATCTTCGTTTTGGTAGGGGGTCTTCGTTTTGGTGGGGGGTCTTCGTTTTGGTAGGGGGTCTTCGTTTTAGTCACTACCGTAAACCTACCTCACTTGCTTTAGAACCACAGAAACGACAAAAAAAAGCAAGTGAGGTAGGTTTACATTTATTTTGAGCCTTAACATAGACATTCCTTGATATAAATTTACGATATTACGACTCTCTAATATTCCCCCATACACTTCTTTATATTTCGAACAAACGACCAGACACGCCGCTTGTGTCGGCTCCCTGTGAACTTAACACCGTGTCACACAACGCCTGACGCTTTCATCATCATGAAATAAAATCTTTCGCTGTTTCTTGAGACGCGAGTGAGGGACGCCTGTTCTTAAATAAACTTGACATGTGCAACGTGAGTGCATGCAGCATTTTAGTTTCTTTCATACTTTGATCTGTGCTCAGTCATGCTGCTTTCTTTATTTGATCAATGCTTTATATTTGAATCCGCATGATCTGCATCTCAAAAAGTGTGTCATCCTTGGTGTAAAAACCTGACGAGGTTTTCTTTGTTTCATGAGGTATTGTTTTGCTGTACGCATTTGTTTAGAATGTTTTGTTGTCTTTGTTTTACGTCACTCGTGAGCTTCACAGGTTTTTACACCGAGGATGAGCCCAAAAAGTTGACAGTAGACTGACATATTGCCTATTGACGAACGTGACCGTCAACGAGTTTTTTCGTTCAGGAAAAACCCCAAGGCCAGTAGGGGTCGGGAGGCTGAATCGCTTGTTAGTTGGGACAAGCCAAATTTCTCTTTAAATGTAAGAGGTTGTCAAAATGTAATGGATATTATTTTTTGTCAACTTTGACTCGGAAATGAGTGAAAAGCCTGAGTTTCAAATCCTGAAAGACCCATCAAAATGTGCTAGAACTCACAGACTAAGACCTTACTCGCCCCGTCCACCCATCTAAAGAGAAAGTCACGTTTTTGTTCCACATTCTGCAATTACCCCCCGCAGACAAAGCCGGTTTTGACTTCACGTGTTTATAAATATGAACAAGGTTATGTGGCATTATGGTTGTCAACGACTTAGTACGTAGGCCCACTCAAAATGCTGGTTATTGTTACTTTCCCTGAACATGAAAGGTGGAGATCAAGACCCGCAAGTAAGTCAGGAAAAAACCTCCAACCCTGTCAAGCGCACTAGCCGAAACTTAAGCGAAAAGAAAAGGAGAGATCGTTTCAACATCCTCGTCCAGGAAATAGCTGGGATTGTTTCTCCAACAGACTGTCGGAAACTAGAAAAATCAGCTGTGCTCGAGCTTGCTATAAACTTTTTACGGAAACATCAGTCAAAAGTACAGTCTCATCCACGAAACGGTGGTGGAAATGCGGCGAGTTGGCAGCCTTCGTTTGCTACAGACGCTGAGTTCAACTTGATTGTCGCAGAAGCTTTAGACTCTTGTATATTTGCGGTCGAAAATACCGGCAATATATTATATGCTTCTGACAGTGTTTTGCCTCTGTTAGGACATCTTTCATACGATCTAAATGGAACGAATTTATGTAGTTATCTTCACGAAGGTGATTCTTTGAGATTTTGGACGAAGCTTGCCTTTGTCTACAGTGGCACTGATACGGAGGCTGGCGGTGATAATAATCATTTCTTTGTTCGCATGAAGAGTGGACGTTTCTGTGCGCGAAACACATTCAAAACACTGCACTGTAAATTTGCATGCGTTCGTCGGCAAAAAGAAAACGAAGCACGAACATGTGTGGTTATTCTTGCAAAAATCGAACAACCTCAACCGAACAGAATCGTTATGACGTCGGACTGTATCGAGAAGGAATTCTCGTATCGTCTAACTATGGATTGGAAGTATGTGTAGATCGATCACAGGGCGTCTTCTATCATTGGATTTTTACCGTTCGAGGTTTTGGGTACATCGGTATATGAATATTGTGGACCTGAGGATATCTTAAACATTTCTCAGTATCACAAGTTTCTTGTCCGTCTTGGGAAGGTAACCACTTGTTACTACCAACATAGAACAAAAGGACAGTCTTGGGTATGGTTGCGAAGCTCTTGTTATGTCGCTTACAATCAATGGAACTCCAAACCGGAATCAATTGATTGCACAGCCACAGTTGTGAACTTTAATGAGGTTTGTTTGAAGCAGACTGAAACAATACGACGCGATAGAGAACACTTTGAGAGAATTCTCGCAAGACATGGGGGTGATTCTGTCTGTTCCCTCAATCCTTGGCCGTCGTCTTGGCTTAACGGTTATGAAGAAGTCAAGTTACGTGATGAAGGCAATGAATGCGATCACAAAGATAACAATGAGTCGGGTATCCCTTCACAATTTCTAAATCGATTTCTCCAATTACCTTGTGACAAGCTATCGAATACTCTAGACAATCAAAGTATCGACGATGTGGAAATGGAACTAGATGAGGAGCCAGATGAACACCTTGTTTGGCTAGAAAATGTGAAAATTCCTCCAGGATTATCCAGTGTCCAAATTGCAATGCATATGAAACTGCGAGAGGAGTATCAGAAAATTGCTCAGCAGATTAGAAAGCAGGAAAAACAATTGAAGACAATTAGAAAGCTCATTGAATGGAGCCGATTGCTTCTGGAATTAGATAGGAGTTTTGGAGCTTTTGAAGTCGAGGAGTCATCAATAGACTCTGAAGATGTGTTGTCTGTAACTTCAAGTTCATGAATAAGTTTGGCTGAGTTAATTGTCACAAGTTTGTGACAAGGACTTCGCTCCGACGACTGACAAGTCACTGCAAACTGCCTCATGTTTATTGCTTTAACGCTGTGTTGAATTGCTGTGTCATTTTGCCAGAACTTGTCACCCAGAGTGTCACAACCATAACTTTTGAACTAACTTGTCACTGTTTGCAGGCCAGTCTACCAAAGGGAGGGATATTTAAAATTTTCCATTAGGATGCCCTGCTCTTAAATCCTAGTTTTCTATGTGCGCACAGTCTGGATGGACAGGTTGAGTTTTCTTCTAAGTCATGTCAATCATGTTACATAGAACCCTTCATAAGCTATTGGCTTTCACTAGTGAACGTTTCTTACTTAATTTAATTGTTTAACGCTCTTCCCTGGCTGTCATATGTTTCCTTCTGGAAAAGTTGAGATTGTTGTTTTATCGGTTCGTCACCCTCCAGATGATACATACGACCATTTTTAATGCATGTTTGCTCAGCTGAATGATGTATTACTTCAGGGAGACTCTACCGTTAAATCACTTCAGGAAGTTAACAGGTTTACTTCTCACTCATCTTTCCTTCAGCTATTTTTTTTTTTTCACATCTTGAAATGATGTTTCAAAATACAAGATGATTACTCTTCTATTGAGTTTGACAGTTTTTTTTTTTTTTTTGTAGGGTACAAGATTCGAAAGATCTCATAGCTTACTAATTAATGCCATTTACCAAACCAGTTTTTAATTTCAATACTGTATTTCCTTGAAGAAGGGCTTGGGCACTTATTGGAAAATTTAACTAAAACAATGGGTGGGTATTGGAACAAAGGAATGAAATTCAGGAGATGTATATTAAGTTAGCACAGCAATAGGACAAAAATTAAAAAACCGACAAGGCAAGTAAAGGAACTCTCCTCCTTTTTTCATTCCATTGTAGTTGGAGCTTTAAAAGTAGTAAATAATTGAAAGTAATAATAGGAACAGGTTTTACTTCTCCACCTACTGTATTAAAAAAGTGAGGGAGAAGGGGGGAAATTGTTTGACATTTTGGTCAAGGAGGGGTAGGCATTTTTCAGGGGAAGGGTGCCTTTTAGAGTGTGGCACTTATTTGAGGAAATATGGGATGTAAATTTTTTGTGACAGCTTCCTTCCCTTTGGTAATGGTAGTGAAACATAAGTCCATATTGTTTGGGGGTGACTAGTACTTGCAGTATTTGGAGGTTTTCCCTATTCTATATTTTTCTCCACACCCACTCCAACTAGTTTTCCTTCTCACGAGCTCATCCCTATCATAACAAATTTGCCCCATCAAATATAACAAGCCTGCTTCATCCTTTAACTGAACTCATTGTGATGGGGGCAAACTGATAGGGGGCAAACTTGTGATGGAAAAAAACTTCTATAAATCAACTTGCTAGCCACCTCCTAGCAAGCTACTCAACAAGCATCAAAAGCATTCTCCACTTGTGTGGTTTACACACTAACAAGTCTTTTGGTACTAAAATTGGTCCTTGAAATACTCAAATGAGGTTAACTGTTATATTTAATTTTTTATGAAGCAAGTCCTGTATTCTGATTGGCTACCAGAGTGGGCAAGATGGGCCCATTGGGATATCCGCCATTGATTGCAGCATGAGAAAAATTGAATTGGTACTAAGTTTTTAATTCTTGAACATTGTTAGTGATGGACACACAAAAAGCAGCAGAAGATAGTCAAAACAAAGAAAACAGAAACAACTCAGGAATTAATTGTGTTACATACAGAGGTGGCTTTCTTTACTGGCTCTTGAAGTAAACAAGTCATTCTTAATTCTTAACAATGCAAAGTCTTTTTGCAATATGATGAATCCTTTATTGGCCAAGCTTTTTTGGTCAAGGTGGCTGGACATTAGCCTCCATCTCGGTCCATAAAAATGCAAAAAGGGAACTCGGCCAATATCCAGCCATCTTGACCTCATGCTTGATCAATAACGTACATATATTACCGTATGGTCTAAATTTGAACACATCATTAATATATACAAACTTAACCTGAAAACTTTTGTGGGACCTCTACCCTATCACTGTAGAAATGAAACCTCTTTAAATGTTAAAAGTCAAAATTCTCCAGCCTCATGTGTGTGCATTTTTAGACAAATATATTAGACATGACTTTGTGATATAGTCTTGCAGTAAAGGAGATGTCTTTTGAATTTCTTCTGGAAACTAATAGAATTGAATAAGCTACAAATTGTCAAACCTCGGTTGTTTTTACTCCTTCACAAGAGGAGTGAATAAAAGACTTCAATAAACAAAAAAAAATTAAGTTTTGATAATGGCACATGCAGGAATTAATGAAGTCAAAGGAAGTTTTCTTGTGTCTGCAGGAGACAAACTCTATTTTTCATCTATGTTGGCTCATTCTTGACTTGGGTAAATGTGAATTTACAAATATCCTATTAAATCTTGTTACAAGCTGTGAAACATTTAATCAAAACATAGTTTCCCACTATATTGCACAGTCTCGATCAGCCAAACGAGCTCCATATTGTCATAAGTTTTCACTTCTTGTCACTCAATCTACACAAATATTCTGTTGTTCAACTTTGCCCTCTGTAAGATAGTTTTTTTTTCTGAGTTAATATAGCACATCCAATAAACAAAAATATTTTAATCACGTTTATTCAAAAGGAAGCATTTCAAGACTTGGAGTGCATTATATAAACATGGTTGGATTTTAATACCCCTGTACTCAATAAATAACCACATTTTGACAGCTATTTTTGCCACATGCATGGAAATTAAAATTTCCCCTGAGGTTTATATTTTGAGGTACAATACTAATTAACTGTGCTATGAACTGTATTTTGTGGAATTACCATCAATAATAATTCATGATATTCCACATTCACCGAAATTTCATATTTTGTCGATTGTTCTTCACCGCCTATAAGTTAAGCCTTAAAATACTTGTAAATGCACGGCAAATAAAGTTTTTGAACACCTTATAAGTCAATACTAAATTTATTTATTTTATTCATAAGCAGTATTTATACAGGCAAGTCCAATTCAGTTAAGGCTGGTTTAAATGGAGGCCTGTGGAGGCCCCTAAACTGAACAAATAGACAATAACCTCCCTAGGATGAAATAAAATGTCTTGATTTTATTCCTTGGACAATTCTGATCTATACATGCGATGAATTACTCATTCATATGGTGCTGGTAGTAAGCAAACCTGCATACAATACTGGCTTAGTACCAATGCCAGCTATGGACTCTCTAAATCCCCATCCTCATCGAAAGTGCTCCCAAGCCACAAAGGATTTTGGATCAAATATAAACCCATAAACTGATTTTATGTTCCATGACCATGTATTCAAACATTTTGTCATGGGGGAAGGGGTGGTGGGTTTTGTGGAACTTATTTGAGGGAAGTCATTTCCTGAGAGGAAAACAGACAGCTATGTAGTTTGTTCCTCAATTCTGGGGGTTTTACAGCATTTCTGAATAGTGCTGAAATGATTCAAATGAGTAATAAAGAGAAATAAATACACTGTCTTTCAAACTAATGCAATTTGTTAACAGTGAAATGGTGACTGCAAACCAGAAAGTCAAAAGCCCAACTCACAGTAACTGAAACAAATAAAACTACATTCAAACTCAGTAAACTCAGAAACACAACTTTTTCATCCCCTGAAATGTCAAAATATTAATATCCTTCAAGGTCTAGGTCATAATTGATGGCAAGGCATTGTCAACATTTGACAAAATGCATTAACACTTCACAGGTGTGTTATTGGAATGCAAGAACACAGCAGTGCTTATCCTTTGTAGGACTATACCAAATTTAATTTAAATATAATTTAATTACTGTATGTTAAAGATAATTCCATGGAGGTCCTGCACTTGGTCTATCAAAATTAAGCATTACTTTGTTCTAAAACTTATGAACTTTGATATGAACAAGGTCAAAGCACACTAACAGGGAATTATATTAAATGCTGGGTAACTGTGTGCACTCTTGCAGTTCCTTCATCTTTTGAAGAATAACAGCTTTAGTTTCTTCTACAGTATTTTTGAGGTTCAGTGTCTTCCGTTTTTGCTGAACCTCTAATTCATCACTGAGTGAAGATAATTCCTTTTGAATGGCCAGCTGTCTTTGTATGACTGTAATTTGCTCCGATTGCTGCCGTATGGAGTCTGTGAGACTCCTGTATTGGTCTCTCAGATGTAAGTGGAGCACCCATTGCGAAAAGGACAAAGATTCTGGCATTTGATCATGGTCTTCTAAAAGTAGGCTCTTTTCATCAACACTTTCCACTGAGTAGACTGGTGGGTTGCTTGAGTTAAAGTGATTGTCACTTGATACCACAACTGCAGCACTGTCAATACCACCAACAGGCCAAATGCCAGCATCAACATTCTGAGGTGCAACCAAGCTCGCCCTATGGTCTGAAGTTATAGAAACACCAGATTGCATTGTTGATAATGCAGATGGAAGTTCCTCATATGCTGTAACCGCATGGCTCTGTTCCACAGTTTCATTCGTATTCACGATGGGATTTAGAGATGGTGATGAAGAAGGTGGTGATGCAGCTGTCAGTGCATTTTTTTGTGTGCCACTCTTGAAATTTGAGCTGAGAAGTTTTTCACCACTCTTTTCAAGAATTTGAGAGAACAGTTGTCGATCCCTCTCTAGGACTTCCTGCTGGTTTAATGCACTGAATTCAAAACCTTTCATGGGCCAAGTGACACAAATGACAGAATCAGGTTTTGAATCTAATGGACTGTATGACACATGGTAGCGACTGCGTACCCAGATCCAAACTTGTCCTTTGGCGAGAAGACGATAACAACAAGTTGTTATTACTCCTGAATAAAGAAGCATATTGTGGTACTCTGTAAGATGGGCCAAATCATCTTCATGACAATATTCATACAAACAATGTCCAAGCAACTCGAAAGGATAGTAACCCAGAACCATAGTCGTACTTCTTTCCACACATTGAAACCTCCACATTTTATCCAATCTCGTTGTGAATTTCAAAACATGTTCGTTATCAGCTGACACAACAGTTTTGTTCAATTTGGGTAGAGTTGTAACTCGTCCCAGAAACACAACGTAGCGATCTCCACTTGTGTGCCCAACTCTAAAAGTCCTACTTACACAGTTAAACGGTACGAACCCGCCTCTGAACCCATCACTCCGTGGAGCAAAACGAAGGCGACAAGAAAACATCTGCGCTGGTCTAGTGGTTGCATTGTCCTTGTTAAGAGCTGTTAGCAGTGCATAGATCGTTCTTTGATCCTCTGGATGCACCAAGTCTAAAATGCTGCCATTCTGAAGGGTTTTACAATCGTAACCAAGACAGGAGAACACGTTATTCGAAGCAAAACATATTTTGCTTGCATCGTCGATCGCTATTACAATACCATCTAGACCATCAAGCACAATTTGACGGAATTCTTCGCTCGTAATAAAATCCGGCTGCCATCTTCCACAAACCCTCTCAAGGGTGTTGTTGCTTGATGTCGAAGCGAGCTGCTGAGCGTGGCGGAAGTATTCGATGCAATATTTCAGAACGTTGTTTCTGCTTAATTTTTTCCCTCGCACAGGCAGAGAAGCAGATAATTCATTTACCAGGTTGTTGAACCGATCTCTCCGCTTTTTTTCATTTTGATTTCTAACTAAACAAGCTTTCTTAAAATCATCAAGGCTAGCGCCGGCCGCTTCGTCCTCTGCCATCTTGGTTCAGTTCAGCGTACTTGGCATTGGCCAGCCGCTTCGAACGACTTCATACGTTATGTAACTGAGACACGAGACATTTTTCGTGCGAAACGGTCGACAGTGAAATAAAAAATTGCTATCACCGCTTCCTTTAAGATATTTTGAGGCGCAGCTGTTCAAGTTCACAAATTTTAGAAAACAGAAAAACAGGAAAACAGGGGTTTGCGATGTAAATCTTTAAGTCACTGTTAAATTAAAGCGCCGTAGTACTTTAGTCGTAAGTCATGTGAAAGAAAAACACTTCATATGTCTATTAAGGCATGTATGAGTTTAATGTAACTTATAAGAAAAATCACGTTTCATGAAAAGAGCAATCACGTATCTGCGTGATACTTGTTTACATGTGATTAGTTGTTCTTCGCGTGTCCCATCTGTAGTAAGACAGACGTCTGTGACGGTCACGCGAATGTCTAAAGTACACGTGAAATCGTTGTCACGTGGAGGAACTTTCCTCGAAATTCCGTAGCATCAAATCTACAATATGTAAAACTTTCTTTCGAGGTTTTGTCGTGTGATAAAAAAAAAACGCGTCAGTTCAGTTTAAATAGATAGGATAATGGAAGAAGAAGACAAATTATATCTCAAAAAATGACCGATAACAATAGAGTCAATAAACAAAGCGGCTCTACGCGAACACGCAACACCCTTTAAGGTCGCCCACGCAAATTATCTGCGGGTTCTTTGTATTTCTCAGAACATTCCACTCGGAGATGATTACAAGTGAAGCAAACCGTGAAACCACACGGTACTCGCTTTGATAAACACAAATTTTCTTAGGCTCACAAGTAGAGGTGCCAAGTGAAGAAGAACCCTGAATCAATCATCAATCAATTTATTAGCGTCGCGAAGAAGGATCTTTGAGGTTGCCTTAACCGTCGAACCGAAGGCTCATGAACAAAAATAAGCATGACAGTTACTAGCAATGTGGAGACTTAAACAGTGAAGTTTAGGTCATTTACGAAAATGCTTTGCTACATACATGCGTTTTTGCCACGTGCACGTTTGCAGAAACCATAGTTAATGGCCTAATAATAAAGGGCTAGGCGTGAAAGTACTATAACCATTCATGTGATACAGCCTGGTGGCCCTTAATTTTTTTCAGGCGATGAGGTGACTGAAAACATTTCTTCATTTTTAAGAGAAAAATGTTAGTTAGGTCAGTTAGGGTACTATGCCAAGAGTTCTGAGCCCGCGAATCTATGTAAGTTTTAAGACCTACATTCTAATTATTACTGAGCGTAGGTGGAGTGCTTCCAAGAGACTCATTTGGAATGAGAGACCTGGGATGAAATAAACATGTTTGGGTATAGTAGCTAAAGGCGTGTGTAGTGAAAGCTTAGCTGTTTCGATTGTGATAATATTGATATGCTTCGCAGATTAGCTTTTTGTCAAGCTTGCTTGTGGGAGGCAACTGGAAACCTGATCCAGTCGGAAAGATTTATTGTTGCATAGAAAATACTGACAACAGTTACAACACTGATATGAACGCATGGTATATATGTCCTTATATTCTTATTCAGTAATTCTTGTTAGTATAATTACTCAAGTGATTATAGAAATTCTCGCGCTCTTATTGGCCGAGAATGGCGTCATATTCCGCTATAATCACCTCCAGCGAGGTCATTATAGTTTCAAAATGGCAGCCTCGCGCTTTGTCGACGTCTGAAGAGGAAATTAATTTAATGAAAGAAAATGCCATTCCGAGGAATACCAAACACGCCTTAAAGTTTGGAATGACACTCTTCAAAGGTAAGGTGTGAAAATTATGCTAAACGTAACAAAGAAACCATTCAAATTTCCCTGAAAATTTTGCTTATGTCGACATGCAGGAATAAATCAAAACAACTACATTAAGTTTTCGCAACACTTTGTTTACTGAACAGAATGGTTTCAACAACAAACCGAATTTACCACTGACTTTGAGGCAATGGAGGTCAACGAGATGAATAAATGTTTGTCAAAATTTTACGTCTCAGTCAGGGGAAAAACGGGACTTTTTACAAGAGAAATAGTCTGTTGTCTGTGCGAGCGGCTCACGCTCAGTTGTTCACTGACGCGTGACAATGATAAATAAAATTTAACACTTCTTTGCTCATTTCTATAATCACCTGAATAATTATACTAAAACAATTATTCGCCTCAGGCTCGTGAATATTGGTGAATATTTCCCTCGACTTCGTCTCGGGGAACATTCACCAATATTCACTTCGCCTTCGGCGAATAATTGTTAATTATTGTCCATTATAACCTACTATTAATTTTGGCGTGATTCTATTGGTTACTTTACGTGACAAAATCACAGGACAGTTATCACGCAATAATTCCCGTCTTCGTCGATATTTGTCCTCCGATTTTTTCCGTGAAAAAGAAACATGGTCAACACAAGAGTTTCAACTTTTCCGTTCTCCTATTCACATGGAAGGAAACCAAACTCGTTTGTTTTTTTTTTGCTTGCTTGCTTGCGTCAATCACGCACATTCGCCATCAGATCACCACTGGCTTTTTAACTGTGTTTACGCGCAGTTTAATTGCGATGTGAAGATTAATGCCGGGGAGGGTTATAAAAGAAATAAACCCCGTTCTGGCTTTCTGGTATGTCGGCTGATAATGTCGCGGCTGAGAAATTGTCCTCAAAATTTCATATTTATTTTTCGGACAATCTCTCAGCCGCGGACATTATCAGCCGACATACCAGCCGACCGAATGGGTTTATTTACTAAATATCCCACTGGAACAAATCTTGTCTGATGGTTTTATCTAATAATGGAAGGTGCAAATTATCACACATTTCACAGAAGAGGAAAATTAGTGTTGCTAGGTTTCTTTTAACATACCATACGGAGATCTCTTCTGTGACTATTTCTTCGTTATTGCCATTGGAATCAAGTGGGTAACTTAATAATAATAATCTTTAGACAGCCGGGTACGTTCTCACAAAAGTGGTTTTCAGAACGGCCCTGTAAAAAATAAGTTAAAAAGTACAGTTAAAGAGCAAAGATGAAAGGATGAGATTGCTACATTACAATGTAAGGATTTA